TTTAGCGAATTTCCCTATGAAGAAGTAGCTATTACCGTAGGTAGCACGGTAAGACCTAGAGCTGGGACCGACATACTTTTTAATTTTGGTGTCAAACATTATACGTTCAAATTTTTTATATGTACATAGAGTACATAATTGCTAAGTAAATAATACATTTTCACATCTGTGTCCATCATTAAGGTCTCGATGCTTTAAACCAAAAATATTTATGAGTTAGAGAAAAATATTAAAATTAGTAAACCTGTGTAGGCATCGTAAATGTAATTTTAAACGGTTTAGAAGGATAAAATATTTAAAATATGGATTTTTGTATCCACCAAGGATACGTGAAAATTCAATAGAAGAAGTGAAAGAGGAGTGTTTTTCACATAAGGCATTCCGCCTCTGGCAAAAGCAAAAGCCTTTTTATTTTACGCATGAGAAACTACGGTTGAAAGTTGTAACCGCCATATTTTCCACATCTGCATACATCAAGCTGTTTTACATGCAAGTTATTCAGTGAAATAAACTTCACCTTTGTTATAAAAGTCGTGAAAAAGCTGTTGACTGATTGTAAAAGTTATCTTTGTTTATCGTTTGTTGTGACCCGGTTTTCCAACAGTAATAAATCACAATCTTGGAAATAAACATTTTTTTGTCAATAATTTGTGTCGTCTAATATTTGACTACTTCATATTGTACAGTGAGTAGGCCTAATTATGGTGGTAAAAGAGCGGAGGTTCTGTCTCCGAGGTCCCGGGTTCAAATCACGCCAATCGCCAATGTATTTTATATAAGTAATAACGCTGTGACCCTTTAGACCTAGTTTGAAGTAACGTTTAAAAAAGTTCTGAACCTACTCTTCTGTGAGGTGAGACATGAAAAAGAGTAATCTTGGTAGACTATAACAAATATTCCGTATTAAAATCATGAAACCTTCCCTAGAATAAATATTTTAATAATGAGGTCTCTAATGAAAGGAGAATCTTTAAATGTGCAACATGCATCCTCCAAAGAAAACCATTCTAAATTTGTATTTAATTTAAACAATAATTTAGAGAGTGTTGATGGACAATACTTTATCCCGATTCAAATACATATTTATAAAATCCAATGTATGTTTGTCGTTTGTTTGTCCTTTATGAGTTACCAAACCGGCCATCCAGTCAAAATGAAAATTCTGAGAGTTGTTCTTACCACCCCCGGAAAGGTTTGTGTGAAGTAAAATTTTGGAAAACTCCTCAGGGCTCGGCCCCCCGTGGCCTTTAAAGTTCCCATGTTATCCTTATGGAGAAAAGGTTTGTTTGCATTCGAACAGATGAATCATTTTGATTTGTACACTATTAACTAGGGGAACAGTTGGTTGTGTTTATTTGGTAAAAATGAAAATATTTACATTATTTTGTTGCCTGAAAATTGGTCGTTTGAATTTAAAATCAAGATATATGTACTATTTTTTGGGGCAACTATATAACAGTATACCTCGATTCAAATGATTTATAAATATATTTAACACTGATATTACCGTAAACAAATTTGCATGAACATATCGGATTAAACCCCTCATCAAAGTTTAATGCGTTCATAACATTGTAATTATGGGGTTTAATCGCGCCAGATTTGGTCTAATGGCGCATTCTATTGGAGCAATAGCGCTCGTGTGCATTACAAATACCGTTGGGAAATGGGCCATTACACCGAATGGCCGACATTACTGCAGCCGATATTAATATACAGTTACATGTATGTAATTATTTGGCTAGGTTACATGTTTTTATTGATATGTTCTAAGTTAAATATTAGGCTGTGGTTTATGTGCAGCTTTTTCGCCAATGTTTAAAGATCCATGAAATATGTTTTGCTAATTTTGTTTATACTAATTTAGAGTATATTTGTGCTTTACTGTTTGTTATACAGTATAACTGAGGGACGAGTCATTGTTTATGATTAGACCATTTTATTTGTTAAAACGAGATTCTAATTTACTGAGATAACAAGAAACAAATTTCAAACATAACACGACCTCTTCAGTCAACCGGACTAAACTAACAATAAAATTGTCTTCAGCAGATCCATAAGGATGATAGATCTATTAAGGGAGTATGTTTGATCTAAAGTTACATGCAACCACCAATTCTCCGTTACAAAGTCCAAACATAATCCATCGTGACTCATAGTATCTATTTTGTAGAATTTAAATACTAATCCATGTCTGTATGATGAATGTAATTTTAATTTTTCTGCATGGAAGGAAATGATTATGTTCACTTAATGATGAAATATTTTTCTGATTGAATACAGCATGAAAATGACCCAGGTCGCACAACGTAAGCTACACTTAACCTCAATAAGTGGACTATCCCTACTCCAAGACAGCTTGTTCTCGAATCCTCATTTTATCCCTACTACCATAACAACCCTACCCGACACCTACTTGAAATCCCATTACAAAGGACTTAGGATGATTTGCCCGATATAACTGTTAGGGAGGAAGTGGGTCAGGAGGGAATACAGACAAATGGCCTCAAAATCGATTGGAATAACTCCCTCCACTCCAACCCCCTCACCCCCCCCCTATCATAACGTCACGCCATTTCTGATTCAAGTGCGTTTAACCCCTTCACATTTCATTTGCTTTGCACTTCGTAATGTTACTTTTGCAGACTGGCAAAACTGAATGTATTTTGAGTGGAAATGGGGTATGGTTGGGGTGTGGAATGTTCTTAGGTTTTATCATAGATTAAACATGAGGAATATGTTTAATCCATGGTTTTATTTACTGGTGATGTAAATTTGAAGTTATTGAATCCCGTTTCAGAAAATCTATTTCAATTAATGAAATAAATGAACAAAGGTTAGGGTTCGAAATAAAAGATCGGTGATTTAACATTTACTACTCTTAGCATCCATAATTTATGCATTCGATTGAATGGTCACTACAAATAGGATTATCCTCCAATTGTGAAATATAAAGCTTAAGTATGTGTTTTTATGTTAGGTACATTGTAGTGTACGTATTTGGAGTATTTTCAAGAAGAGGATTACTATTTCAATTTAACATATGGAAGTTAGGTTAGTTTTGGTTAAGTTAGGTTATGTTACGTACATCAACTTCATTTACATAGGACACTATTTAATAGTGACGACCCTTATCTTTAGAAGGACCATGATTCACATGTTTTTCTTTGTTAAGTTTAACTGTGCGCACTCCATTCATGCCAATGATTTAACAACAAATAATTTCAAGAATAAACGTTTTGTTCGGGGGAATCGCTTTTGCATTTTATTTATTTCATGAAGTGTGACAATAACAGATAAAAGACACACTCTATTGCAGACAGAAAAATAGTTAAAAACCATTTCATTCAACCACATGGTTGACAAAATCTACAATCGTTAAAATTAAGATAGAGAAGGGGCTGACGTCACCAGTACAAAATCTAGTTACATGTCCGTCAATCGTATAATCGATGGTGCAGCAAAGTGCAAGAGAGAGAAAGAAAACCATGTTGTCACCGTTGCTTAGCAACACGACGAAACATAACCTCAAAGCTCATCGTTCATTTCTCATTTCATAATCGTTATTCGTTTGAACGTGTCAGAATAAATCACAGAATGAGGGATTCGTTTTCATTAAAAGTTTGCGAGTGTAAAATATGACGTTAATGAGTGCGTTGATTGATTTGTGTTCTAATTAATCGTCGATCACAAAATTTGTTTCATGTGACGCATCAGCAGTGTTTTAGTTTTATCGAATACGATTTATTTGTCTGCGGAAATGTAGGTTAACTTATTTGTTAGGTAAGTTTATGTTCCTCTGTTAGTCATCATAGTATTATTTATATGAAGAGTAGATACCAGTCGTCAACCACATGCGAATGAATTAATGAATATTTCCTGGCAATTTTTACATTCAAAAATATCAGATTTTCTAAAAAAATTTAAATATTTGAAAATTGTGGAAAACTTTACATTAAATTAGATGTTGCAGAAAATTGTCTACGTGTACAAAAATGTTTCATAAGTTGTAATTTCTTGTCTATAAAGTATACTCCAGTTGCATTTATTTAGGGGTTTTTTGTCATCGACTTGTTGTTGGAAAGCGTCGTTAATTGATTTCTTGGAATCGAACCAGCAACCGTCAGATTTGAAGGCGACCACTATAACCACTCGAGTAACCAGACAATTAATCATGGACACTTAATCACTTGAATCTGTTTAAAAGTACAGCATGAACGTAACTTAATTATCAAAGTCTCACATTCATTTTACCCTTTAAACTATCACGTTCCCGTCAGTTTCTTTTATGAACTGCAACTCCAATCTCAAACTGTGGAATACATGTTAACACTTATGTCGTATAACTGCACTTGAATGTGTAAACTTTATTATTTTCACAGCGTCTACAGTGAGAGCCGATCCAAAGTGCCTAAGAGGAGCAATTTCGTTTTCACAGCTTAGCAGTAAACTTTCCTTGTCCGAAATGGAAAATAACCGTAAAACAAATTTATAACGTCCCTCTGTTGCAGCTGAACAGTTTTACGGGATATAATCTCTGCGTTTGAAGGGTGGATGTAAAGAAAATTCCCTCCCTTGGCTCACCTGCGTTGGTTATTGGTCAATAACTTCTTCCACCTAGGGAAATTTCTTCCCCAAACTACTTTGTGTGTTCGGCTTTATATTTGTTACTTGTTTATGGGGAATCTTCTCCAATATATAAGGTATATTATAAGAGTATAATTTGGATAAAATTATAACACATAATTTTTTCGTGGCAATCGTATAAATTCACAAAAATCGCCTTAGACTATGATGACTGGTTCTACAGTTAATACATGTTAATAATTTATTGATATGACATTTATGTATGCAAAAGTGATAACAAACTTCAGGTTTTGCAGATTTGTTGGCTTGTGAGAAATTTGACGTTTAGAGTGTGGTAACGTTTTACATTTAGAAGGATGACATTTTTTCCAAGAAACAGCTGTTGCAACAATTGTATTTTACATCTGTTGCAGTTGTCGAGCCCCCATCGCCAGTCTGGACTGTATGGAGGAGTTCCAAAGCACGAATGAACAGCTGTGCATGCAACTGCAACAACCGTGCTCCAAGGAACAGCTGTTGCTACAGAACATCAACACGCCGTCCGTAACACGACAGTCGTCCACGGTGACACCGGGCCTGCGCTACCGCAACATCGGCAAGAGCGGGCTGCGCGTCTCCAACGTAGGCCTAGGTTAGTGCCTCACAGTTTTGTAAAATTATTATTACAGTATATCCCACCTTCACATCCTAGGACCCTTGGTTCTAGCCCGGAACTGGTTTAATCTAACTTCAGGCTAGTCCTAGAGGGTCAGGGGGTTATCACGTTGATAAAATCCGTTGGTGATGGTGGGATTTTAATCCGCAACCTCGACTTTCAAAGGCCCAAAGCTCTAACACTAAACCAGGTCGTTTCCCAGTGCCTCACAGTACAGTAGTATACTTCCTTATAAATAGAAAAATGCATTATAAAACATATCAGAAACTTACTTCCAAAAAGTATAACTGAAACATACTTCCCATCACGTGCATATAGATCATATATAGCCTCCTTGTTAAAGTGTATGACATAATATAGTACACATAGACATGCGTATACGGGTACATTTTTTTTACTTGCTGAAAGTTTAACGTAAAAATTCTATTGGTGTTTTTGAGTAAAAATGTAACATTAATATGATTATTTTGTTATATAAATCATGATTTATTTTCCGTAAACTCAATATTTATTTGTCATTAGTAGTTGGCAACGCCGTAGTATTTTTCCGACGCAATACCCGCAATACATGCGTGGCTCTGTATTGCTAGAGCGCCGTTGTATGTTACCAGCAAATTACAGAGTTAATGCTGGCATTATACATTGCCTGAAGCTTTCAGGCAAAGTATGAAATGAAGTAATAACAGTAGGATTGTTTGTACTGCATTTATTACTAGAATATGGAACTAGAACTAGAATATGGAATTTTGCATCTCACCTGTTGGCCCTTTAGTGCAAAATATATTATTTTAGACCATCTATTTTCTTAATACAAGGATTTTCTCTGTCACACCCGTTTCTAAAGTCCTACTTAACAGATTTTTTTAAATTAATTGACAGTTAAATATTTTATCCAATTCATTACAAACTTGAACACTGTTTCTTTCTGTTGTAAGTAAGGATTTATGGTCGACATTTAGTAAGTGTATTTGTCATATTCATGTGAAAGTGATCATGTATGTTTTGTGTGAAAACCCTTTTTGCTTATACAATCCGGCACAGTTCGAATTAAGAAGTATTAAATATTGAGACACATTAAAATTTAACTAGCCTTTGTACAAATGACAAAGGTCAATCCTCAACCATTGCTAAATGTTAGGCCTTGAAAACCTGTACCTCATTGTTTTATCCAAATTCAATTAAGCCTCTAGTGAAGGAAGTTTGACTGACAGTAATGGGACAGCAGATGGACAGCGTTCTCCATTGTGCTTGAACAAATCCCAAATGTGTCTAATGGAGACGGGACATGAATTTGAATCAACCACCAAAACACATGTACACTTCAGTTCTGATTCAATTGTGTCAAAACATTTATCATGTTAATGCCTGTATTATAAAAAAAAAATGTTTTCATCTTTTTAACTACCATAGGTAGTGAGAGTCTTATAATAACAAAATATATATCTACATAATTGTTGTGTTTGAAGTCAAGGGATTGTTATAATCAAGAAAAATTTTAAATAAAAACATATAGAGTACTTATGGACAAATTAATTGTATCCACTGGAACATCGCACCACTGAAAAATCCAAAATCCTCTTCTTAGTGGTTAAACGTAAACCTCAAAAGTAAATGTATAGCAATCCTAAGTTAAAAAAGCTTATTTGTTGACGGTCCAGTAGGTTTTTGCTTTTAGGACTTAAGTTTCTAGGGGGTAGCAGAAAACATTTTCAAAGTATAATTGAACCCCAAATTGGAAAGCTCTCTAGGACAAATACCTGGTGATGTATCAAAAATATTTTTACTTAAGAAGAGGGATGGTTCAATTTTCAAGGATATGGTGTTCTAGGGACTTGGGTGACATTTGGCAACAACGTCAGTGAAGAGCAAGCCGAGGCGGTGGTGCAAGCGGCGTACGAGAGCGGCATCAACGTCTTCGACCTCTCGGAAGCTCACTGCGGCATCCGAGCGGAACTGGAGTTGGGACACATCCTGCAGAAGAAGGGCTGGAAACGCAGCTCTTATATTGTTACAACTAAGATCTATTGGAATTCTAAGTGAGTAATGTTGATTGTTTCCACTTATTTGTTTGTGGTATAGCTCAGCTGTCTTTGATTGTTGAGCTTTTAATAAATGGACCTGGTTGAAGAAACAGCTGATCTTGTAAGTAACAAAGTTACAAAAAGACATGTCCATTCCATTCAATGATCGCCCTTCATCCATTCGGGATCAAATACACAGCATTGTGTCCCTTTCTTGATTGGTAATAAAAATGGTATCTCTTAGAAAATCATGTTATTTTAAGGTTAAAAGGCATTTCTTCTTACAATGGCATTTAGAACTTTTGGGAAAAGTTAATGGGAAAATTATTGAGAATCAGACTGTTCCAAAGCAAAAGAAGGAAGTGAGAAGTAATATTCAAACACACACTCCTCATTTTTACTTAACTATTATTGTTGCAAAGTTCAAAATTAATTGTCCAGGCTTAAAATATTTAAAAACTGAAAGAATAATACAGCTCTTAGCTCTGGATACTTTGGAGAAAAGTTAAGAGGAGTTGAAAGAAGGGAAATTCAATTTAAAATCAAAATACTATGACAGGAGAGACTATGAAGAAACCATTTATAATTTGGGTTTCACTGTTGTTGCTATAGGCTAGTTTATAAACTAGATTTTCTTGAATTCATTGACTTAGAGAGGAGAAAATAGTAACAAAGGAATTAAAAACCCAATCGTAGTCTTCCCGGTGAAACAGTGTCACATCACTTACAAGGTGTGCTGAAGTTTCAGCCTCCTCAGAAATGGTCATGGTTCTGATTCTGAGCAGTAAAAAAGCACACAGAGAATTAAACAGAGGAAACACACATTAATGGAACAACTGAGCGCTTTCAGCTCTGGTATGTTGTGCCGGAAATATACTTGTGACAAGCAGAGAAGAGCTCGAACGGCGAGTACTGTGGGGAAATTGCTATCGCACAGGGCATATGGTCCTCCTCCACCATGAGCGTTGTAGTACATGAGGGCAAGGGAGGCAGTTTTGCACTTTACCCTCCTAGTCACTAGTACAACTGCTAGACACCACTTAAGGGTACAATGGAGTGTATCCACTGTTGCTTATATTTTTGTACAAAGCATCACTACTAAGGAGCATTGTTGTGGAAGTGCTCTGTTACTGCTCTGAAAACGACTGCAATGTGGATGAAACCACGTGATAATATTGATGTGGTCTTATCTTGAAGATCCCAATGATATTAAGCACGATCATGGAAGCGTTGTTTTTAATGGGGTTAACCTTGAAATTGCAAAGGTTGGTCGGTTGGTGTAGACCTTCAGTAATTCATCAACCAATAAGTTTTAGTTTAGCTAGCAAAGAATTACAATTACATTCCTCTTGATGGTCCAAAAATGCTAAACTTTTACAATAGACAGTTTAAGATGATATTTTGCTAGTCATGAGTAGTATTGACTTCTCAATGTTTTAAATGTTTCTATTTGTTGATCAGATCTGAAGAAAGGGGGTTGTCGAGAAAGCATATCATCGAGTCAGTGCGAGCGTCACTTGCTAGACTCCAACTCAGCTATATTGACGTCGTAATTGTTCACAGGGCAGACCCAATGTGTCCAACAGAAGGTAAGTTTACTTAAAAATCTGTTATCTGGTTGATAAAAGACACTGATTCATAGTGATCATTTGGTTGTTACTGTGTGTTTGGGTATAGTCATGACACCATATAACTGTAACCTGTTTTGAAATAACACTTAGACTGGTACGAATAACAGATCAGATGTTTTCTTTAGTATTTAAAGTCTGTGTTAGTATTTAAAACCTTTTTGGGGTTTACGTTAGTGGGATAACATTCCATAGTACAGTAAACACTTTTAGTAACAGATCAAAAATAACCTTTCTCTTACTTCTGCATATGTTAAATGTCGCTATCTGAGCGAAATTTTAAAATTTTGATTAACTACCGTCAGATTATAGCTGGATGTATAGAGCAAAGTTTTATAGTTTAGGTTAGCGTAAGAAATTAATTATTGTAATATTTCTTTCATCTTGTGAACTTTGACATTGTTCCGCAGAGGTGGTGAGAGCCATGCACCACGTGATTGGTCAAGGCTGGGTGATGTACTGGGGAACGGCCAAGTGGACGCCGGTGGAAGTGATGGAAGCCTACACCAACTGTCGTCAGTTCAACTGCATCACTCCGATTATCGAGCAGACGGAGTACCATATGTTCTGTAGGGAGAAGACGGAACTGTACATGCCCGAGTTGTACAACAAGATCGGTAAGATTCCACTTTTAGAGCTTCGGTAGTCTAAATTTTACCAGAGTCGATTTGTAGATTATTGTTCCCTGTGAAGCTAAGTTTTTCTAGTCCATTTTCTGTGCAATGCACTGCATAATTTGCACTTCTCGCTTCATTGTGGAATGTGCTGCAGTCACAAACATTTTTACTGCGCCGCAGCAAGTAATGTTTGTTAAAAGTAAGTGAGTGGGAACATCCTTCGCTTCGGTTTCCTGTTCTCTAACTAAGAAATAAAATAACCATTACTTTTTTTATATCCGTAGCAATACGTGTTGGTAGCCTAGTGGTTAGCTTCTCTGACTTCCGTGCGGGAGGGACGGGTTCAAATTCCAGTACATCCACAAAACTTTATTCTCATGTTGTCCTCTTGAAAAATATCACTAACGTATAAAAAATAAAAATATAGTGTCCCTAAACACTTTTTAAAATACACTTATTCAGGAGCACTGCCATATTGCTAAGGGTATAATTGTGACACCATAAAACTGTAACCTGTTTTGAAGTAACACTAAAAATAATATCACTAATACGAATAACAGATCAGATGTTTTCTTAAATATTTAAAGTCTGTGCTAGAATTGATTGTAAAAGTTTGGCCAATATCAGACTAATCAATGCACTATGTTTTGCAGGAGTGGGTCTCATGGCGTGGTCACCACTAGCCATGGGTTTGGTCTCCGGTAAAATTGACGACGGTGGTTTACCGGTTCTTTCAAGATCGTCGATGAAGGTAAAGGTAAATTGAAAATCCAAAATTTACTAACCTAAATTTAATTTTAGATGATTTAGCAGGGATCACAGTCAATATAATCTGTGTTGTTTTATGTTTGTGTAGGTTTTATTGCTGGTTATTTTAATTTTGTATGATTAAAATAGTTTTTAAGATGGTATAGTTTAGTGTTTAGCTGTACATAGATCATTAGAACACTTTAATATTTTAGTTTCTTAATTAGTTTGATGGATAGCTAGAATATGTGGAAGAATAGGGGAAAACTGTGTAAAGAAAAGTAGTAAAAATAACAAAAAATAGATGTTAGGTATTTACATCTTTTATTAACTTCTTTTAACTTAAATAAAATATAAGTTTTTATGAGAGCCATTCATATACTGTTTGTTTACTTATAATTCTTCTGAATGAGTCATAGATATTTGTATAGAGATTACGTAAGTTAGTAATATTTAGATTATTTACTTCGTGGAGAGTAATTTAGTAAATATCTTTAGTCTATAATATAATATTGGTTCTAGTCATTATAACAACAAAGAAATCATGTCCTTGGTTGCTTTAGAATAGGTATTCGTTTCTGATAGACAGTGGTTTTTTAACATATTTTATTTTATCATGAACTCATAAAATCTCTACTTGGTGTTACAAAATTTAACACAAGATTTTCTATATTTTTTTACTCTTTTCAGACTAGGTACAGTTTTTAGCAAAATATTTTTTTAGCTAATAAAGCTCTTATAGTCTTAGATATAGTTAATTGCAATATCAAAACTTAATTATGTATGAATGTGTCTAAAACTGAAATTACTGACTAGTATAAAAAATTTTTGTTTATTTTGTGATTTCAAACTACACGATAAATCAATAACAAAAAGTTAAGCAATGTTCAAAATGAAGATTATTCCCATGCATTGCAGTTGAGATAAGTTGGAATCCAAGCCAAGAAAGGAAGCAATTTTCATCTCTGAATATTTAAGCGTATCTCGGCGTCTACGGCTAATGAGTCTTTTCAAGTTAAAATTTTGTCCATTCTCGTAAGTTTTACAGACTCGTTTTATCTTGCACAAAATTGTCATTGCTATTTCTTTAGAGCCAGTTAAAGTTAAAGTTTATATGTTTTTGCAAATGATATGGCAATTATGAAAATCACAATAATTTGTTTACTACAATACGCTGAAATCTAATTGGTTAGATATAAATTAATCAATACTAAACTGTTGATAGGGTTAAACACTAAATTCTCATTTCAAAATTAAGTTTTACTTCTTGAACTAATCAATTTCTTTTGAATCAATAAAAACTAAGGGAATATTCCGGCCCGTGGTTCACATTAGACACAATATGGATCCGAGAGCTATTTGCGCCCAACCTTCCTTGCGGGTAATTTTTCTCTTCCTTGTATTCTCAACAAAGTAAAACCCTTGGCGACCCTGAGTCCATTTACGAAAGCAGTCCTGATAATAATATTGTAACTGTAACCCTTTGTAATTTGTGCTATCAGACTATTTCATAGAGTAAATTAGTGTCTTAGTTAATTTAAACGTTTGAATTCTAATCCTAAAATAAAAATTAACATTAACTTTGAACCAAAGCAAGTGAATCTGTAAGAAGATACTTTTGTACTTTTACAGAACAAGTACTCTTCATTCTCTCACAGTTGGACTGAAGATGAAACTCAGTCGACTAAAGAGGTAATTTATATATTTTCTTTTAGGATCCAAAATGGAAATAACAACTTTTAAACAATAACTAAACAACTTAACTCAATGTATTGTACATTTTTCAGCATGTGTGCTTTACTTGAAATAAAGTCCAAGAACAAGGATGAGAGATTAATAGTTTTTATATTAAAATGGTTAATAATAGTAGTATCTTCCAATTAATTAGTAATTTGGTGTTTTATGTCACATATAGTTTTGTTGTGGTAATTCCTAATGTAACTTAACTTATTTTTCAAACTAATGTAGATATTTTCAAATTTAAAGTTAAAGCATGGAAAACAATTTTGCAAACTATAATAACGTCTAACCGCATTACTAACACATAATATTGTTACCTACCGGTACTGAATATCTAAAATGGTAAATTTTAACTGGTAAACTTGTACTAAATAACTAATATTGGATAATTAACCTAGAATGTGTGCATGGTTGTCTGCATGTTGTTTAGAGTAGAGTTTAGTACTAGAAGTTAGATTAGTACTAGCTATCACGCTAAATTTGTACTCCTATTTTACTTGTAGTGTTTAGCAAACGAGATTTAGTTTGAAGATTTCTATTGACAAGTTAGGCTGTGCAAGACTCATAATATCAGCTGTAGTCTGCTCTACTGCAGGGTGTCAAAGAAATAAAAGCGACTGAGCCAATTGAACAGATATCATTGAATCTTGAACTTGATACCTCCTATTCCTTGTAAGTTACATCGTCTTTTTTGAACATTTTCCATGGCTCGAGATATTCTCTGTCTAGGAACATGATTGTGCAAGGTAGTTTTTGCTAAATGAGTAGAAATTAGGAAAGACCTTTTTCAATTCCAATTGACAACTTGGATAAGTTTAACTGCCTTGACAAGTTAGACTAAGAATTTTTGACTGTATTTTTTCTCTCCCATTCCTTTAAAAGTAATTTTTACAGGATTGAGGGCTGTACCGTTTCATTTAACCCTTTGATGCACAGGAAAATTTTTTTATTTCAATTTTTATTGAATTGATGTTTTTTGGTAACCTTAACCGTGTCAGAGCTCAGGAAAAATAATTTAAAAAATTTAATTTTGTTTTTATAATTTTTATTAATAAAAAACGAGGTGGTATTCTATATATACCACTGTGTATCAGTGCGTAGTCTAATGTGCATATAAAATATTAAAACCCTTCCTTGAAACGTAAAACCTACCAATATGTTACAGATAAGAAACAATTATTTACCTGTTCATGTATTGTAATAAAAAGATTACTTATCTAATCTATGTGAAAAATAGTAAATTAGCTCAAGATATTAGTACTCGTAAATACATTTGTATGACAATACTGAATACATTTGAAGGTCTGTTATAAAATAACAAGTTTCCAGAGAATCATTGTACAACATCGTATTCTCCAATCTTAAGATTCAAGATTAATCTTTATCTTAGTTCAGTTGTGAAACTCATAAAAACCATTTTTTGTCTGTCTAGCATAAGCACACTTTGCGCTCGTTACATTCCCAGTATGAGCGAATCTTTTTCTCTTTTGTTCTGCATAAGTTGCATCTCGTCCATGTTGATATTATGGGCATGTGAACGTTCTCCTTGAGCCTCTTTTCTACTGGCATTTTAAATTTATGTTTGATCAAATTTAATTTAGCCTTTCCTTTGCCTTTCGTCGATTTTGAGTGTAAGCCATTCGTGACGGAGATACGGAATTGCTTCACCTGGGTTATGATTCCAAACGCAATAGGTGATTTATAATGATAAAAATAAATTATGTATTTTCATCAATGAAGATGATTATATTTGCTGAAGAGAGACTACTGTCACGGGGCTACAGAATACAGGGGCTGGCTCACGTCGACTAGCAAAGTGGCCCCAGTGCCGGGGCTACAGAATACAGGGGCTAGCTCACGTCTTTGATGTAGCACTTGCCGACACGGCCCCGCTCCCCCACCTCCTGTGACGTCACCTGACAGTCAGGCCTGTTTCCATTACGCGGCCAGCGAAATTCTCACTCTTTTACACGCTCCCCTACCGTTGTACGAACATATTTCTCAAATGAAACTTATATCGTTTTATTCTGCATTAACTGTAGAATCCAAATATCCAAACAGTTTTTAGTTTACTGCGAGTAAATTGGTTTTATAACAACAAACGTAGAGGAACTACAATAATGAAACTTGAAAAAGTCACTGAGTGAGGAATATTTTTATTTTTGAGTTAGGCACACACTTTCAGCGAGAAAACTATAGTCAATCAGTTCTTCCACAGTAATTACTTAACAATTCTTAAATACCCCTAACAGTTCATTAATAAATCGTCTCAAAAGACGATTGTCACAACTGAGCGCTGGCGGGTAATTTTCCCGCTCGCCTCGCAATTTTTAGGTTGTTGTTATGGCAACACTGCATCAAATACGCGGGAAACCAACTTCGCTCTTTCATTGTTATTCGCGTCTTCTGTTTGGCTCTGTCTATGTGTGCAGTATTACATTCTGAAGTTAGTTTTTAGTAATATAAGTTATGAGTGTTTGCTCTGTTGCCGTGTGTAAGAATCATTCCAAAAAAACTACAGGTGTTGTTTATCATAAATTTCCGAGGGATAAATCTGTTCGTGCAATATGGGTAGCTAAGTGTAAGCGAGCTGACGCATTTAATTCGGACTACGCCAGAATTTGTAGTGACCATTTTACCGAGTGTGACTATGCAGATGACATGAAAAATAGACTTCTTGGTTTGCCACAGAAGAAGATTTTAAAGGAAGATGCAGTGCCATCACTGAAACTATTACCTGCCGAGGTTAGTAATAACGAACCTAAACCAGATGTAAGAAATGAGAGACATGTTAAAAGAGAAATTAGGAATCAGGCTGTTGAACATTTAAAAGCACTAAGCCCTAAAAAACGTAGAATAGAACTGAACTTAGAAGCAACAGTAAACAATGTTAATGTAAATAACGTGCCCCAAAACTGCCCTCAAAACGAGATTGTGTGTCAAAATTGCATTGATAAAGAACAACAAATATCATGTCTTAAAACTGAGTTACTCTCTTTAAAAAAGAAACTTCAATTGGCTAAAGCGAAAGTTAAATCAAACTTAAAAAAAATTAAAAGGAATTTGAACACTAAGACTAGTTTAAAAGTGCGCTTAAAGAAACATCAAAAAGATTCCTTAAAAAAAAGTTGCAAACATTCATGCCATTTGTTTTTTGAAAATTCTAAAAAAATACTTACCCAAAATCAAATAAAAGCCATCTTGAACAACAAAAAGACTAAACAGTGGGAATCAGATGATATTTCAAGGGCTATAATATTAAGAGCGCTAAACCAGAAATCCTATGAATTCCTCAGGCTCAAAATGCATTTCCCTCTTCCCTCCCCAGCTACTCTTAAAAGGTGGTGTGCAAAGTTTCAGTGTTATCCTGGCATCTTAACGAATGTTTTGGAATTAATTGCAAAAAGTGCAGAAACCATGAGTGACCTCGAGAGGACTTGTGTTTTGAGTTTTGACGAGATGCACCTTGACAGTAAAATAAGCTATCATACTGGTCTCGACCAAGCTTTAGGCCCATTTTCTAGAGTACAAGTGGTTTTGGCCAGAGGTTTGATGTCTCCCTGGAAACAACCTGTTTACTATGCATTTGATACAACTATGACAAAAGATATTTTGTTTGATATAATCAACCATCTTGAGCGTTGTCAAATAAGAGTAGTAGCAATTGTGTCTGATTTAGGAGGTTGCAATACATTGTACAAGGGACTGGGTATTAAAGGTGAAAAACACTTTTTTTCCAACCCCTATTGTGATGAAAGAAATATTTATGTATTTGCAGATTTACCACACTATTTGAAACTTTTGAGAAATCACTTTTTAGATAGTGGTTTATTGCTCAAAGACGGCACGAAATTGACCGGTGACATATTGGTAGACTTGATACAAAAAGACAATGGTGAAGTAAGACTATGCCATAAACTGAAACCAGAGTTTCTAACGTTAACTGGAAATGCGAGACAGAAGGTCGGACCTGCAAAAGCCATATTTTCTAATACGGTTGCCAAAGCCATACTGGTGTTATTAGACAATAAGAAAGCTGCTGACTTTTTTGAACTGATGGACAATTTTTTTGACATCATGAATAGCAAGTGCCCCTATGTTAGCAAACGTTATAATTGCGCTTTTGGAATAGATGACCAAATACTCAAAGAACAACAACATATTTTGGAAGAAGTACAAAACGTTGTTTCTTCAATGAGAGTTGTGGGAAAAAATACATTGTTGCCTTTTCAAAAAGGTATTTTAATGTCAATAGCATCGCTAAATATGATGTTTGAAGACCTTAAAAAGATTGGGCTAAAATACATACTAACAGCAAGGCTGACTCAAGATGTTCTTGAAAACCTATTTGGTCAGTTACGAGGTATAGGGAGATTCAATGACCACCCGTCTCCAACAGAAATCATTTACAGGATAAGACATCTGTTGCTCTCTAACAAACTTCCAAAGCCATCTCCAAAATCAAATACCCAAGAAGAAAGTGAGGAAGTGTCAGTGAACACATATTTAACAGCCAATCTATTAGATTCTATATTTAATCACAAAGAAAACAACGAGGATCCAACAGAACCTGAGCATAATGATTTAAATCAGCCTCTCAGTATTGACATTCCTGGTAACCTTGACACCGAAATCCTCACTACCTGTACTGAAGAAGAGCAGCTTGTGAATGAGGTCCCCGAGCAACATTGGGCCGAAGAGGAAGCAATTAAGTATATTGCTGGTTTCATCGCTTTTAAAGTCAGAAATGTAGATCCAAGCCTTGGGATACTGACAAAATCCTTTGAGGAGGAAAGCACTAGCTGGATATCAACTATATCACGAGGAGGTAAATGGCATTTTTAAGTTGTTTAAACTTTTTTTGTAAATATTCCGTAAGACAAAAGATATGACGTTTCAAAATGTGAAAACGTTTCTTGGAAACAAATGCCACATGCGCTGCAAAAGTATTT